CCCAGGTCGCTATGACGTCATCACAGAACCCGAACCATGAATCAAACTTTGCACTATGTACTCTAAATGACTCCACGGACGTGACCCAGGTCGCTATGACGTCATCACAGAACCCGGAACGACTCAAAACTCCCGCTATGACGTCATGACGTTTGACAGATGACGTTTGACAGGTGACGTTTGACAGATGACGTTTGACAGGTGACGGTTGACATGATGGCGGGAAAACATTTCCCCCCACCCCTTTTTCTGGTACCCATAATAAAATCCGTGGGCCCCTTTTCGGGGGGCGCAGCCCTGTGGGCCCCCTTTTGGGGGGCGGAGCCCTACGGGTCCCAACTACAGCATCCTGTATTACGAACTTCACACTATGTACGCTAGATGGCGCCATGACGTTTGACAAGATGGCGCCGACGATGCATCCACCTTCGTGTCAACGGCGGCGCATCCACCACGTGTCAAGAATGAAAGATTGAGGTTATGGTCGGATTTTTGTAGTCATACCCCTGTTGCTGTACTACTCACAAAATTGAGAAAATTTAATAGCAACCAAGAAGCTGATGATACGAGGATAATTCTTCACTCATTAAATGATCTTCCGACTTTCAATTCCATTCTAGTAAAATGTATTATGCTTATATCTCTGTAATCGTAATCACTTGTCCTTTTAATTTTTCAATTTCTTTTTCTACATTTTTATATTTTTGTTGTTCTACTGTCTTTTAACAATTTTATCAATGTATTGTGATTTTCTTATGTAATGTTCCATCCTGAAAATCTCGCACTATTTTTTATAATTCTGGCCACATAATTTTTTTTTAAGTACAAGTCTTTGGTACAAGGTATGTAAACTTCATTTTTTTGTTAGTCCTTTTTTGATGTTCCTAATATATATTTTAGCCCTGATGAAGTCCTAAACTTTTGGGCGAAACGTTGGCAAAGACTTAACAGGCCTTTTATTTTTTGTCCTACCGACGAATCACCCCTTTTCATTGGATACCGATAGGACACGAACTACTCTTAATAATAATAAGTAAAAAATTATTAGTTGTTCATTGTCTTACTACTCTTACTGGTTGCGATACAACACTATCTATATTTATGTAACAAGCTGTAAAATTAGCACGTTTTTTGCATTAAATGTGGAAATGCTTTTTTTGAATTGAATAAAGCTTCCTTTTTGTATTGATTATTGAAATAATATGATTGATTTCAATTAATGAGGTTCTTGTTATTTAAGTCTAAGTCAATATTAAATGGCGTGGGAATGTGGCGAACCCATCGCTCACGATTCCAAAGTTCTTCGGCAATCGGCAAGTTGTGACGGGATCAGGCTAGTGTAGTCTGGAAGCACTTAGTGTCCTTAGTGACAAAGCAGCACGGAGGCGGCGGATAGCATGATCGTCGTTCTGTTCAAGGATTGGCTGTAGAACAACTCGTAATTGAGCAACGCTATTCAAGATCCGCACTGTTCAACCTGATAGGAAGAGGCTATAAAAGGTGCTCTAAATATAGCCAGTTAACTACTGCCCGACTGGATAACCGCGTCCAGAGGGTGCACCCCATGCGGTCCAAACAAAACAAAGCAAAATCAATCAGTCTTCTGTCTTCACTTTCTAAAATTCTTGAGAAAATAATTCAGGAAAAGCTCAAATCCTTACATTATCTTGATAGCATTCTACATGATGAACAATTTTGTTTTCGTTTATATCACTCTACTGAGATTCAGCTTGCCAGGTTGGTTAAAGAAGCGATTCGCGCCTTGCAGCGCCGCTCCCAAACGGGTGTTGTGCTGCTGGATGTCGAGAAAGCCTTTGATCGTATCTGGCATGCTGGTCTTAGTCAAGCTTCATGACAAATATTTTCTGCCTTTATCTCTTGTCAAAATTATCATTAATTTCCTCAAAGCCAGACGTTTCCATGTCAAACTCAACTCAACAAAAATATCTTCTCAAATGTCAGACCCATAGAAGCAGGAGTTCCTCAAGGTTCTGTCCTGGCTCCACTGCTCTATAATATGTATTTACACGGCTGACATTCCCAATAATCCTCATACTAAAATGTCCATCTACGCAGATGACACTTGTATTTACACTTCACACAAATACTCACATCACATACATAGACGACTACAAGCAAAATCAAAATATCTGTATCCACAGATTTTACTAGAATGGAATTGCAAGTCGGAAGATCATGAAGAATTATCCTCGTATCAGCTTCTCCTTAGTTGCTATTTAATTTTTTAAATTTTGTGGTTTACCGTTTTTGGTCAGCAAAAAGCAACTTTCGGCATTCTTGAATCCTGCTATTATTATTTTTTTCTCATTGCTAAGTATAGAAGGCCCCTTTTCCAAGAAATAGTTGGTTGAATAATTTACTAATGCCGTTTTATTTGAAGAAGATTTGATAAATTCTTAAAATTTTGGAACCTTTCGAGCACCAACTTTCAAATCCGCAGTAAAATCTCTACGTCCGCCCGTGTCGTCGGCGTCGCCGACAAGCAGGTACATCGCGCGCTCTGGATATTCATAACTTTCGTCAAGGATAACTAGAAAACTATTTGTTCCAGATGGTTGAATTTTTTTTTTAAACTTTTTTGATACTTTTTCGTCATATCGTACGCAGATACTATGGCAAAATTCGTTCAAATAAAAAAGTTTCTCGCTTACCGAAAAACATGCTGCAATTAAAGTACGATTTCGAGTTCAATCCAGTTTCCAAAAAAAAATTGAGTCACTATGGGATTTAAACTAGCACAGTTATCACCGCTCATATGTCCTCTACCGATTAAAAAAAAAATTATGCTGATAGGTTTATTAGTTCCGGAGTTATCGCGTGGTGGGTTTGAAAAAACACGAAAATAATATTTTGACATATTTGTCACATTTTTTGAGATAAAAAATGTCTGCCCCCGCGAAAAAAGTCGTAATTAGCCATTTTAGATGCACAAGAGCATAACCGATCAGCCTGTATAGGTTTCATGTGGTTAGACCTTCAAAAAAAAATTTGAAACATTTTTATATCGTTTTTACTCCACTATTAGTCTTCCGGCAACGTTTCGTCTTTAATTAAGACATTATCAAGCCCTACGAAGAACAAACAATGTAAAAATAAGTATATAATAATCATGGGTGAACTAAAATAAATTTAAATTATTTTTAAAAAATATTAAAGAACAAAAAGGGTTATTTTTAATTTAAATTTTTTCCCTTACTTTGACTTGAAGGTTTATCCTTGAGATGTCTTCACCAACATTCCAGCAAACTAGGTTCATGTATACCAAAACTTGTGAAAAACGGCACATTTATTTATTAATTTATTTTCATTAATTTTATTATTTAAGTATATAATTATAATTATTTTTTTATTTTCAATGTGTTTTCAATTAGATTTGGAGGCAAACAAAAATTGGTTGGGTTTTCATGTATTTAAATAGATGACAGCATATTTCATATTGTGTGGTACCATTGGTACCATTTTAATTTGTGGAAAATAAAGGTGATCATTAACATGGTATTGTTGAAAATTAAAAGATAACTAAGATTCGTTCTACATTTTTGTTGTAGGATGTATTTCTTCTGTTAACTAGTTTTGTCGTAAAATGATGATTAAACACAAAGAAAAAAAAACATAAACTACAAGTTTAAAATTTGAAACAAAGAACAGTTAAAATCTTAAAATTAAAGGTAAATAAAATTTAAAATAAAGTTACAAATCCAAACCATAAGATTTTTACAGATCACATGGAAGATTAGGAAACATTAAAGTATTATATACTCACAAGAAGACTAGGAACTGTTAGTATTATTGTATGGGGAACATTTTTAAAGCTTTTTTTGATTTTTGTACACATTTAAAATATTACTATATATAGTAGTCAGATCATCAGTGTCTGTTCTAAGATTTACTGTGTTTTGTAAATGTATATGGATCATTCCGCTAATTTTTCTTTTTTGTAAATTAGGTTCCTTTTCAAGTATTGACGCTTCATCAAACTTGAAATTATGTCCCGTCTCGAAATGATGCTTGGAAAGCGCAGTCTTTTCTGAGTCATATCTCCTGTCATTTCTACAATCATTTTTGTGCTGTTGCAACCTATTTTTCATGTACTGTTTTGTTTGACCAACATAACATTTTGGCATTCACAAGGAATTTTGTAAATTAAGTTTGACTGTTTTTCTTGAGGTGTAGAGTCTTTTAATTTTGAATACAATGAGTTGTTGGATTTACCATTATAAAAGGCTAAAATTGAGTCTGTATTTCTTGGGCATTGACTTATTTGTTAAGAAAGGCCATAATCTATAAATGGAAATTTTAAAATACCTATCTTGTTTTTGTTGTTTGTGGTTTTTTTATTGAGTTTATTTATGGCCCTGTTGATAAAATTCAAGGGGATAATTGCTGTTTTTTAAAATTGTTTCCACCTTCTGTATATTTTCATTGTGAAAGATCGGACTGCTAAGTTTTGCTGCTCTGTGCAACAATCCTACTATAATGCCCATTTTATTTGAGAGGGGGTGGTGGTTAGGTGATATACTCTTCCTTTTTCATTATAACTGTGGAGTTTACCTTATCAGACCTGCAAACTATTAAGTCCCTCATTTTCTTTTAAATCCCCCTTTTGTGATTGCAACTTTTTCTTTCAAGTCTACTTTGTTTAATATGTTCATTTTTTAGATAAAAGTTTGTTATTATATTTGTCGTCTAGCCTCTTGATATGTGTCTTTTTACGTCATTTATTTTTTTGACCTGAGATACAAATTTCCAAGTCTTTAATGATTGTTGGTATTGGGATTTCATGATTTTTTATAGGTCGACTAAATTTTTGGTCCAAGACTAAGTACTGTTACCCACATCTTCTGGGAAACGTTGCCGGACTAATTGATTTTCTTTCCTATCCCTAAATACAAGAAACTTTCAGATAAAACACGTATGTTTGAATCCTTACGTTCCAAATCTAGAGAAGATTCGAAATTTAAACCGGTTTTTGCTTTCAGCACGTGGAAAGACGCGGTGAGATGATCGTGAGAATTCTAGATTCTCGTCATCTCGGTCGCGCTGCAGTCGATCAAACCAAACGCTTTCTATCCATGCAAGATGCAAAGCACCAAGTAAGAATGTACTTATTAATTTTTAGTTTCATTTGAAAGACAAATGTTGTTTCAAAGGTACAGTTCGTTGAAATTGTTAAAAGGCCAGGTCAAACCTTAGGATTATATATTCGAGAGGGAAATGGCCAGGATCGACAAGACGGCGTTTTTATTTCGCGGATTGCTTTAGAATCTGCTGTGTATAATAGTGGTTGCCTTAAGGTGAGAGTTGATTTTTTATCCAAAAAATTAGTAAAATGAAACTTCGCAAATTCGTTTTAGGTTGGTGACGAAATTTTGGCAGTCAATTTGGTAGATGTAACGCACATGAGCCTCGATGACGTCGTTATTATCATGTCGATACCTCGAAGACTTGTTCTGGCGACGAGGCAAAGAAAAGGCGGCAAGGGCGGTCAGGGGTCGCCCTCAGTGCAACCCAGAGCTGAACACAAAGCGCCACCCGTTGTTGTCATTAAAAGAGATCTACGTGAGGATGAAGGGGATGAAGTAGATTCTGCGGATCAGCATAGGTGAGCAAAAATGATATTTGAAATTCGCAATCTGTCAATTAGAATGTACTTCTTAGAAGGACAATTTTATAAATGCACGGTAAATTTGGAGATTTGTGATAATTTTTTAGTAAACCTCCAGAAAAAAAATTATTTCTTGCGTACGTGTTATCAAATTGCTACAGTTATTTTAAATAAATCTTCCATAAATCTCATGGAAATTAGAAACAAGATTTGTCAATAAAATAGTGTACATTTTGGCCGTTTTATGTCATTCATTCAGGAACAAGATTTGTCAATAAAATAGAGTGCTTTTTGGCTGTTTTACGTCATTCATTCAAAACTCTACTTTTTGGATCTAGCGTAGAAACATAATTTGAGAAAAATCCTCATAGATAATCGTCTTCAGGCATCATGACGGGTTGTCTATTGCTCAAAAAGTTCAAGTCATGGAATATTAACGTAGTTTTCTAATTTCATACGTTTTTTTTTTTTTAAGTAGGTACCTACAAGGGCCAAATAAAGTTCAGCTTACTATTATATACTCTTATACTGTTCATTCAAGGCGATTAATTCAAATGATTGCAATTTATGCAAATCATTATCAAATTGAGAAATATAAACCTCAAAATATTAAATTTCATCCATTGGAATAGAATATTTTTTATTATCAGTTTTATAAAATTAAAAATTCCTGTGCCAATTTGGATTTTTTTTTCTGGTTTTGTTGGGACAAATTTCTAAACGCAAAATCCAATTTCTTTAAAAAGTAAGCTACCTATGGAAAATACTACACGACTGATTTTTTTGGAGGAACAATGACAATTCTCAAGGTCTATAAACCTAGCAGTCCCAAGGTGGAAAAAAACTTCGGGAACTATATAATAATTAGGTGCTTTTTAGGTGCTTTTTAGGTGCTAATTAGGGCCTCTAATTAAAAATTAGGTGCTCCTTTAGTTTTTGAGAAAATCAAAAAAAACTAAGGGACTGCTAGGTTTATAAAAGCTAGCAGTCCCCTATAGTAAAAAATATGTTTTCAAATTTTTTTTTTGTATCAGAATTAGGTGCTTTTTAGGTGCTCCTAAATAGTCCAAGAAAAAATAGAATTTTTTAATTATTAACTGAGTTACAGATTTTTTTTTTATTAGGGGACTGCTGGCTTTACGTTTACTTGAAGGTGTGTCAGAATGGCAAACAAACTTCGGGATCTATATAATAATTAGGTGCTAATTAGGGCCTCTAATTAAAAATTAGGTGTTCCTCTAGTTTTTGAGAAAATCCAAAAAAACTTAGGGATTGCTAGGTTTATGGAAGCTTGTAGTCTCCTATAGTAAATTTTTTTTTGTATCAGAATTAGGTGCTATTTAGGTGCTCCTAAATAGTCGAAGAAAAAATATAATTGATTATTTATTAACTGAGTTACAATTTTTTTTTTGTCAGAATGGCAAAAAAACTTCGGAATCTATATAATAATTAGGTGCTTTTTAGGTGCTAATTAGGGCCTCTAATTAAAAATTAGGTGCTCCTCTAGTTTTTGAGAAAATCAAAAAAAAACTAAGGGACTGCTAGGTTTATGAAAGCTAGAAGTCCCCTATAGGAAAAAAATATTTTTTCAAAATTTTCTTTGTATCAGAATTAAGTGCTTTTTAGGTGCTCCTAAATAGTCCAAGAAAAAATAGAATTGATTAATTATTACCTTAGGGTCAAATTTATAGTCATTCCTTGAAGGTGTCCTCAAGGCTCCCTTACTGAAGGCTGCCTTAAGGAGTCCTTAGCTTCTTCGTTTTATAGTCGCTCCCTTCACTGAGACTCCCTCAAGGAAAAATTACATATAGCAACTGTGTAATCAAATGGTTTTTTGACGGAAAGGTTAGGTTATACGACCTGTCAAAAACGGCGGCTGTCAAGAATTAGCCAGGGCAGATGAATGTTGAAGATTAAATTTAAGACAAAGTGCACAAAAATATGTGTAAAATGCCTGCATTTTGTTGTGTAGAGAAATATACCTAGTGGTAGGGGAAAACGCGACAACCTTAAATTTTATAAAATACCATCGGAACTGAATCGAAAAAATCCTGATAAAGTTCAACAAAACGAATTATCAAAAATCAGAAGATAATGCTGGGTTAAATGCAATCAAACGTGAAGATATAACTGGCTGTAAATTAAAATATGCTGTAGTTTGTTCAACATATATGTATATTAGTATTTATTATTAAGTATTAATACTTGAGCAACTATTGTTATTAACCTTCGTCTTCCCGGGTGGGGTACAAATGTACCCCATAAAACAATTTTTCTAGCATATTTTCCCAAAAAGTGCATATTTTTTGTGACTAATTTTATTTTGTGTCAGTAAGGGTTTTGCACATAATGAGTGATCATCAAAAATTTTCTATTTATTTATTTTTTAGAAATAATAATTTTTGCATAGCGTGGGTCACATGTACCCCACGTGGGAATCTGTGGCTACTCTATCAAGTAGTCACCTTGCAGGAAATTTTCAGGTTGGAAATAGATTTCTAGCCTGCAAAATTTAGAAATCACGATAATAAAGCTTATCAAGAAGTATCTGTGGAGCAGGAAGAGAAGTAAAGTTTACGGGAAGTAGAAGGCGGAAAAATGATTTTTAAATCGAAAGATGGCACGCATTGGTCGCAAATACCATTTCCTAACCTAATTTTTTTTTCGCTAACTGTACTCTATAGGTTGATTTTATCTATTATAACTGTTTAGTATAAATTAAATCATGTTTGATTATGAGAAGTATCATTTTTATCCTGGGGTACGAATGTACCCCACGTGGGAATCTACGTAATTTTTTTTGACGTGGGAAGACGAAGGTTAAATGTATATTATTGACGCGTATTCGATTGTGTGACACAATCCAATTGTATGCTCTGGCTGTTTTTTTTTTGTTGGAATGTACTGTAAAATCAGAAATGAGTGAAAAAAAAGTATCTTACTATTCTTACTCCCACCAAGAAAAAGTATTGTTAATAAACTTAATAGAAAAATACAAATCTGCTATTGAAAATAAAAAAACGTATTAGCAAAGGGAGGCTCAATGTAGCTTTAGACCTACCTTAGACCTAAGGGATCCTTGAGGCTTCCTTAACCGACTATAAAACAGGATTTTATTTGAAGGATGCCTCAAGGTCTAAGGAAGCCTCAAGGAAAACGAAATAAATTCGACCCTATAAGTGAGTTACAGATTTTTTTTTAATTATTAGGGGACTGCTGGCTTTACGATTACGGTTTACATGTTGGTGTGTCAGAATGGAAAAAAACTTCGGGATCTATATACTAATTAGGTGCTTTTTAGGTGCTAATTAGGGCCATTAAATAAAAATTAGGTGCTCCTCTAGTTTTTGAGAAAGTCGAAAAAAAACTAAGGGATTGCTAGGTTTATGAAAGCTAGTAGTCCCCTATAGTAAAATATATTTTTCCAAAATTTTCTTTTGTATCAGAATTAGGTGCTTTTTAGGTGCTCCTAAATAGTCGAAGAAAAAATAGAATTGATTAATTATTAACTGAGTTACAGATTTTTACCTTATTCTGATACAAAGAAAAAATTTGAAAAAATATTTTTTACTATAGGGGACTCCTAGCTTTTATAAACCTAGCAGTCCCTTAGTTTTTTTTTGATTTTCTCAAAAACTAAAGGAGCACCTAATTTTTAATTAGAGGCCCTAATTAGCACCTAAAAAGCACCTAATTATTATATAGATCCCGAAGTTTTTTTGCCATTCTGATACACCAACAAGTAGACGTAAAGCCAGCAGTCCCCTAATAATTAAAAAAAAAATCTGTAACTTAGTTAATAATTAATCAATTCTATTTTTTCTTCGACTATTTAGGAGCACCTAAAAAGCACCTTATTCTGATACAGTAGAAAATTTTGGAAAAATATATTTTACTATAGGGGACTACTAGCTTTCATCAACCTAGCAATCCCTAAGTTTTTTTTGATTTTCTCAAAAACTAGAGGAGGACCTAATTTTTAATTAGAGGCCCTAATTAGCACCTAAAAAGCACCTAATTATTATATAGATCCCGAAGCTTTTTTCCATTCTGACACACCAACACGTAAACGTAAAGCCAGCAGTCCCCTAATAATTATAAAAAAAAAATTGTAACTCAGTTAATAATTAATCAATTCTATTTTTTCTTCGATTATTTAGGAGCACTTAAATAGCACCTAATTCTGATACAAAAAAAAATATTTTTTTTTTACTATAGGGGACTACTAGCTTTCATAAACCTAGCAATCCCTTAGTTTTAATTAGAGGCCCTAATTAGCACCTAAAAAGCACCTAATTATTATATAGATCCCGAAGTTTTTTTCTACCTTGGGACTGCTAGGTTTATAGACCTCAATTCTTACCACTAATACTTGGATAGAGCGCACTTTATTTGTTGACAGAAGTTCAAAGCAGCAGCAGAGAGCTGCAGAAGGGTCATTCCTTGATGAAGATATTTGAAACTCTAGCTACAAATTCCATCAATAGAATATACATAGAAAGCTAATTCTTTCACTAAACTAACGTGATCGAGAAAATGTTGTCAGACTATCGCCATCTTTACGTAGTGAATTCAATTAATTTTGTCTATTTCATACAAAATAATATACTAAAGGGTGTACCAATAATAGTGATAGAACTTTAATTTTGAATAAAACACGAACCTTTCAAGTTGTAGATTGTAGATTGTAGATTTCGGGGGAGTCCTTTCGGCTTTTCAGCCGCTCAGCACTGCTACCTTTGCAGATATTTTGTGCGTGACTCTACATCTTAATTTGTCTCCAGGAAGCGTAGACTTCTGCCGAAGGAAGCTATTTTCCTGGGTATCAGTTGGCCCACTTCTTCTGGTGACAGTGTTGCCCCCTCGAGGAATTTGAGCCTCTTGCAGAATTGGGCTGGACATTCGCAGAGCAGGTGCTCTGCGGTTTCTATTGCGTCTGAGCAGAATCTGCAGAGATCGTCTTCTGCTCTGTCCATTAACCTTAAATGGTATTTTACTGGGCAGTGTCCTGTGAGCAGTCCCACCACCAATCTGATGTCTGGTCTGCTCATGCTTAGGAGCTGTTCAGCTCTTTTTGCTGAAAGGGTAATAAACCTTTTTGACTGTCTGAGTCCCGGTGTGTGCCTCCAATTTGATGACAGTTGGTCTTTCTCCCATTTGTTGAGTTCTTCCATGATGTGGCTTTTCATTAAGCCACAGTAGGGCTCTGGTCCATAACCTTTCAAGTTAGAAAAATAAATTGTGTATTTATCGAAAACATATTTTATGCCATTTATGTTTTGAAAAAAACATTATTTGAATGTCATCCGCTTGATGCCCTGCAGACGCAAGTAGAAATGGGCTTCGTCGCTGAAGATGATTCTCTACGAAAAATCTACGTCAGCGACGAAGCCCATTTCTGACTCAATGCGTTCGTCAACAAACAAAATATGCACTATTGGGAAGAAAACAATCCCCGAAAAGTGCTAGAGAAACAAATTATACCCCCCCAAAAAGTTTGGTGCGATTTGTGCGCTGGCGGCATTATTATTGGCACGAGTCATGAGAAATTGCACCCATCATACGCGTCTGCCAAGGCATACGGAGGATGAAATTCAAATGATGTTTTGTTCAAAACATAAATTGCATAAAATATATTTTCGATAAACACACAATTTATTTTTCTAACTTAAAAGGTTCGTGTTTTATTCAAAATTAAAGTTATATCACTGGTATTGGTACTCCCTATATTATCCCTAACCCAAACTAAAAAGGGCAGATTTGGCTCAAAACCATTTTAATTTCAGAGATTCATTGCGTCAAAGACACACCGGTGATGGTAGAGAAATGAATGAATCTCGATCTCGACTTGGCCTAGGTCTGTCAACTCTAGACAGACAATCAGGTCTAGATCGGCATTCGCAACAGCACTCACAGCAACAGCCTGATTCCAATGGATTGGATTTGTATTATAATAGGTAATTTATGTCTCTTATAAGAAATAGATTGATTTGCAATCATAAGATTTTCTCGCGAAACAGAGATTACGGCATCACGCGATTTTTTTCTGCGCTTTAAACATACAACTACCAGATTTCTCGATTTTTGAGTCTTAGCACGCAAGAATTCGATTAAACATGCCATTTATTTGTAGACTTTAGTTAATCTATCCATAATGGGTGAAATTAATCGATATGTACGAAAGTTGTTGATATTTTAATAGATTTGGTTAGGGTAAAGTCACTATGAGAAAATGGATTTTTCTATTGGAGAATAACAAGGATATTATTAAGATATAGGTAAATGTTACCTGGGCGAGTGGCCAAAGCTATAAATGGGGTCTGAGGTAAGGGTTAGGATACTATCAACTCTGGGTGATATCACATTGTAATTAGAAGTTTCAAATTGGGTCTGATTTCAGGAAAGCAAAAGTTCTGTTTCAAGTATTTCTGAAATATGAGGATGGATGAATGATTAAACCGTATACTGAAGAACGCGTCTTATCTGAGCAGGATCAAGATCGACAGCCCCAACGCGGTGCAGCATGAAGGGGAAATCGCATGAACCACTCGAACTCAAAGCAAAGGTTCTTTCAATGATTTTGATTGTAGTGTTTTTCATTAGACGCTTGCGGTTGCTCTACATTTCTACACAATCTCGACAGAACTGTTCCGCGATGTGCCTAAACCGCGAACGTTTAATAAATTCTCTCCTTGATGCTGCCTGCAAAAGGTTCGCGTGTACGCAAACTCCTGCTTTTTGATAGATAAGAACGAACTCTGCAGCTGAGCAAGCAAAATATGAAAATATTCATATTGTTTCTATTTTATCAGCCTAGATAGGGAAAAAGATTAACTTATTTATTCGTACAGTTATCTATGCGGTATGAGCAATGAACAATAACGGAAGGAAAATTATTCGCGTAGAAATTGGGAACAGAATTAAAGCAAAACCACAAATTATGCCTGTGCTGCTGCGATAACCGCTGCTGCAAAGAACAGCATTTGAAAAATGCTGCGAAGTGCATCGCCAAGCAGGGCTGCTCGATGCTGCTCAGATAAGAATTGAGCGAAGCTTGACGAAGTTGTCTAATTTCTCTTTTCAAGTTTCTCTTTGACGGAACTTGACGTCAATGTTTTTTTATTACTGAACCTCACGAATATAGATATGTATCATCGTTACATAGGTTAGATATTTCTGAATTGATTCGAACTAGCAAGTCTGAATTAACATTGACCGAACCACGTACATATTGGCAGACATAACGGATTCAATTTCGACAAATCAAATAACAAACGAAACGTGTTGCTGCTATGCCCATCTTCGTACACACTAAGGGCCAGATACTGAACTTGCAATAGGAATGTTCACTATTTTTCAATTGTAATAAAAAGTGGTGGTTCTAGTTCTAGGTTTACAAAACACGTATCAAGCGTTAAAACATCCAGAAACCCTTTATTTTTTCTGATAAATCGAAAACAAGAAAACGAAATTAGCAAGGTAGCAAATGAACCCCTGCGGCTAGAGTAGCGTTTCTGACGTCAGTGTGCGGAAGGAACAATAATCAGCTGGCGCGTTGGCGAGATTTGTTCACATTGATTGTGTTATTGCTGACTGTTGCTTTATCCCAAGAAGCTTCATTCACTAATTCTAATTATCTGTGTTTGTATAATGATGGGAGACTCAAACAAAGTGAAACCGAGTCGAAAAAAGTGGTACCTACGTACGTGTTTTCCTACGAGGTGCGGAAATGTGGTACTTTCCGCACGCAAATCGGTGCTTGAAGACGCGTTTTCCGCACGCTCGTAGGAAAAATGTGCCTACACGAGCGTAAAGTATGTTTTCCGCACTTGCGGCTTGCATGAATTCCGCTGGCGCGTCGTTCGTGCAAATGCCGTTGCGTGCGGAAAAGTATAACTTTCCGCATACCTATAACAAGTATAGGTAGGTACCTAAATAACTATATCACTGTTAAAATTCAGCTATAGTTACATCTAATACGTCTGTTTTACTTTTACACCACTGGACTGGCGCAGATTCAAGTCTTGACACTTGACCAAAAATGCTGATACTATACGTAACGTCCACAGTTGGCATATTATGTGAATCAGCCTTTTGAAAACCTTCTTCCATTTTAGCCATAATACCTTTTCTACCTTAATTTCGATAAACCCTAACACAGAGATCGACACGAAGGAGATAGCTGCACTATCAAAATACTTGTTAAATGTTAAACAGACCAGTGGCGGATCCAGGATTTTCTTCAGGGGGGGGGCGCAGGCTTAGAATTATCAACAATGATTTTTTGAAAATTTATTTTTAATTTACTGATACGTTAAAGAATGTAGGTACAGGGTGGTCCAATTTGGACACTTTTGATATGAAACATCAATTTCTGAGCCAGATACAAAAAAATTACCCTCCCACTCTGCTGAGGCTCAAATTTCATGAAATTTTAATTGGTGCAAACACTGCAAACACTGCAGACCGCCTTTTGATACCCTCAACCGTTTTGCCGCTAGCGGATGTTTCTCGATTTTGAGCAATAAGGTGAAACCTTCCTAAGTTTTTTATGTAGGAAAATAATTGACCTTTTGTTTGGACGCCATATTGCGGTGCGCGAACATAGTTGCCAAAAGAAGAAAACAAAAATTACTAGCGGGCTGTCAACATTAAAAACAAAAGTAACTAAATGATTGGACCTCGCTATCCTTTTTGTTTGTTTACTTTCTCTCTCTGATTGATGAAAGTGAATAGGTAGATATTCTATTATTTCTATTCTGCCCAATACAAGCTAAAATTGATAGCTTTTCTTTTCAAAAACATTCGTGATTGGCGGCAAATTCAAAATTTAAATCTTATTTATTCAGTAACTTTTGTTTTTAATGTTGACAGTATGTTAGTAATTTTTTTTTTCTACTTTTGGCAACTATGTTCGCGCACCGCAATATGGCGTCCAAACAAAAGGTCAATTGATTTCTGTATAAACTTTCTAGGGGCACTTTTTCAAGCAGAATTCAATGACGTACTCAATTTTTTATATTTGTCTTATTTTTTTAATCAAAAACCCTAAGTATATATTGATAACTCATTGATAGCTCTATTATTGCTTATTTTAATGGTACAGTGAGAATCATTGCAATTGGCACACACCTTATAAACATCCCCCGTAATGCGTCAAAATTTGACTTCTTTGACAAATGGTAATGCAAAATCATGTCAAATTCATAAATCAGTGGTGAACATAATGATTTTGATAAACTTCTAAAGGAAGAAAATATATGGGCTTAGCAATTTAGTGTTAAGTTTAATTCACGATTTTGTGTTAAGTTTGGTTCTTGATTTCTATGTTGATTTGGTATGTTACATATTACGCTTTTGCGGGGTAATTTTGTACTGTTATATTGTTGATCAAAATGATAAAAATATTACGTACACCGCTGCACTGAATAGATTTATTGATTAGAATTTTGATTTAATATGAGGGACGTTGAAAGAGTGTGCCAATTGCAATGATCCCCACTGTATATAATGTTTAGTAGGTCTATCTCTAGTAGTTTTCTAGAAAAAAAATTATAGATATTTCAGTCAAAAGAAACAATGTGTTAGGAGACCTATCTTATTTTCCTTATAAATATAAAGTCCACTTTTAACACATTGTTTCTCATGACAAAAACAGATATAATTTTTTATGTCCGATTGACCAATAAAGTACCTACTATTTATATAACAGTTTTGCGTCAATAAAGTAGCACTTTATTTTACTGTAAAATAAAGTGCTACTTCATTTTACTAGTGAAATAAAGTGGTCTTTTATTGACAACCTGCCAAGGTGAAATAGGTAGATATACTCGAATTTTAATTTTTTCGTTCAAATTTTTTAATTTTTATTAAAAACCAGTCACAATCACACATAAAATCATGTATATAATGCTTACATAAACAGGCTTTATTGACTCATTATTTCAGAGCCTCGCTTCATTCATACAATAAAGCCTTATTTTATGTACTTATTATATAAATAGCTATTTGCTATTTTCTGGAAAATTGTCAGAGATAAACCTAGCGAACTTTATATCATTGAAAGCAGCAAAAGCAGAGCTATCTAATCAGTTATTAATATATAAGGTGCCCGCTGTCCCATCAAAACAATCGGACTTTGACATAAAATTTGAACTTCAGAGTGAGGGTGGATTTTTTTGTATCTCGCTCAGAAATTGACGTTTTCTATTAAAAGGGGCCAAATTGGACAACCCTGCACATATCAAAAAACCGAAAATAACAAATAAAAATATAACAAATTTATCTGATAAAAACGAAACGATAAATTAAACAATAGTGTATCTTGGAAAATTTTCCTATAAAATTTTATTGGAAAATTTTTCTATGAACTTTTATTGGAAAATTATTTTATAAAATTTTTCTATCTATGATTTTTTTAAAAAAAATTTAGTAGTTTTTGAGGCTCCAGGGGGGGGCGCGCGCTCAGAAGGCTGATCAAAGTAGCTATTAGCGCCACTGCACTTGCGCGTGCCAGCTCGTTACGCATTGTGACGTCAGAGACCGTTTCGTGCGTTTAAACGAATATTAATATTTCGTCTCCGTTTTTCTCATAGAAAGAATTTTCTGATTTTCGTAAAACTTTGTTGATTTACTTATGAAACGATGCTTAATAATTTCATGATGGTTAAACGGGATTTTTTTATTTTATGAACATTCCTATTCGATAGTAACATCTATCATTAGAACAAAAATGCGATTATGAACATATACGAAAACCGTGTACCTATATATCACGGGTAGTCTATATTTTGACGGCAAGCAGACGGTAGCCTGTTCCTTGTCGAGTTGTTGGCGTACTCTACCAACATCAGACCTTCAAAATTATTATTGTATATCGGAGGTATACACTTCTGAAAGTTGCCTTAGTAAATCGAACAACAAACAGAACAACGAGAGTAGTAGAAACACGTTCCGC